TATTTTTTCTCTTTAGCGCTTTTGCATTTGCATTTTGTGTTGAATCATCCATCGATTCCAGGCGCGTATCTTGCAGATACTTTTTATTTATTTTTCTGTTTTTCTGTTTTTTTTGGGTCTTCGGACTCGCAAATTTGACACTCACTTACGGCAACCGGTTTCGGTTTCGGTTTAGCAGTTCAGTGTCAGGCGCCATTGAAACGCAAACGCGAACGCAATTAGCCCCAAAGTGCCATAATTAATATGAAAGACACGCATCTAATGATGATCCTAAATGAATTACGCATTTGATTTACGAGCCGGCTTTAAGCCAAAATTTATGATAACATGGCCAAAAAAGCACTTAAGTCTTCGAGCGCTACGTTTTTAACCTCAAGATACAAAATGCGAAAGTGAAAGTGGCCGAAAACTTGCACTCCAAACACACACATACATACACACACACACACACACACGCTCGAACAGCTGTCTGTCCCAAACTCGGCGACCTCAACTCAGGCAGCAGCTCAAACTCTGTCTAAGTACATATGTAACTGTATATGTATCTGTATCTGTATCTTTAGCTGTAGCTGGCTTTGTCTTTGTATCTGTATCTGTATCTGTATCTGCATCTGCATTTGTATCTGTATCTGTGTCTGTTAAAGTGATTTTTATTGCTGGGCACACTGTGTTTTCTTTGCTCTTTTGTTTCGCATGCTTCAAAATCAAAATTAAATCCTATGAAAACAAGAGTGTGCCCGCGGATGCCCGACTAAGAGATGCCCTGCATCGGAATGTAAGCACACACAAGCTCTTCATCTCTTGTTCTCAATCTTCGGAAAATCTTTTCTGAAATCAGAAGGCACAAAATAAACATTCATAGAAACATATGTACATACATGTGCATACATAAAAAGGCTGTTCTTCCTCTTTCCTCAGTCCCTACACTCTTTGGAAAATCTATTCTCAAAGAACTTTTGTGTTTATTCTGCAATTGTTATGAAATTTGCAGAACTACAAGATTAATATTTTAGACTCAAAATCTAAAGTCTAGATATTCAGAAAGACGAACTAGGCTAAGTCGCAGCAGCTCCTTGTTTTTCTCCCTAAATTTAAACTATATGAGCTCGAAAAGATCTTCTTCTGCTTGGAAACAAGGGTATATTACCTTTTTAAACATTGTCAGTGGCTACAGGGTATGCAAAACACAACAAGCCAACGTTTTATATGTAGCTGCTGCGGTGTTCGGGCAACGTGAGTTCAGCATCACGTTTCCTTTTTATTGCCTGCTGGTTTATTTTCTTATTTTATTTTTATTAAGTATCGCAGTTGTTGTTTTCCCAGTTTTCATTTGGGGCTGTTGTAATTTTTGTTGTTGTTATTTAATGATTTAAAGATTATGCACGCTCTGCCGGCCACACGGACAATCGGACAATCGGACCAATGTCTGCCCTTTAACAAAGCTCCACAAACTTCAGTTTACAGCTCCTGACGGCCCCTGACAAAACTTTCGCTTTTTTACACCTTTACTGGCCTTTTTTTCTCGCTGCCGCAGAAAAAAAAGGTAAATCTGAGAGAGAGAGATAAAAAATGTGGTGTAAGAGCATGTTAATTTGAAGCGAAGGTTGAAGGCGTTAAAATTGCAGATAAAAGTCGCGGTTTGCCGGCTTCAGATTCGTTTTGTTTGGCCAGAGATTTTCGTTTGGCTGTCGGAGGCTGAGAGTAGGGTATTTTAAGCTGTAACACTTAATGCGGCATAAGTGAAAAATGATTTAAGGTAAATAATTCATGAGCTGCTTTTCAAATTCAACGAGAGCCCATTTGGCGTTCCTTGTTTTCAGCAAAAACTTTGACAAAGAGTCGCAAGCTAATTGGCAAGTACCCTGTAAAAACCAGCCAGGAGCAGGGAGTATCGATTCTACTTGTGAAATCATGTTCTCTACAGTCCATATACTCCCTTTCGCACTAGCTAAACAGGGCATCCGAATGCATCTCTTCGTCATACGAGCGCAAATTGTATTAACAAATCATCTCGAATGACGCACAACAACAATTCGCTCGTGTAAACAATTTAACCCATTTTTAATGCACTTCAACTCATAAATATGTGCAATTATCAAGACTCAGAGACACGCCTCAGAGTCCAAATGCGTTTGCCGAACAATAAACAATTTGGCCCGACAAAGTATTGCAATTATACAATAGATAAAGCAAACTTATAAATTCAGCAACACGATTTGCTCTTGACTCAACTGGAAACTCGTCAAATGTCAAACGTGCAAATGGGTTTGCGATATCTCCATAATTAACGAAATAATGGGAGACAACAATTCTCAAGTCCGGCGCATCCAGCCAAATACAGAGACACAGATACAGCTGGGGAAAATACAGTTTCAGATACAGATACAGATACAGATACAGATACAGATACAGATACAGATACAGATGCAGATACAGATACAGATACGGATACAGATACAGATACAGATACAGATACAGATACAGATACAGATACAGATACAGATACAGATGCAGATACAGATACAGATACAGATACAGATACAGATACAGATACAGATACAGATACAGATACAGATACAGATACATATACAGATGCAGATACAGATACAGATACAGATACAGATACAGATACAGATACATATACAGATACAGATACAGATACAGATACAGATACAAATACAGATACAGATACAGGTACAGACACATATACAGATACAGGTACAGATACATATACAGATACAGATACAGATACAAAATTTGTGCAGTCGTGTGAAAAACTGGTTATGCGATTCTCGAGCAACGATAGATAAATGTTTATAGTAATAAATGCGTGGGAAAAATACTAAAAACCATATAAAGCAGCTTTATGGCATATATCTATATCTAGCTCTCCATCTCTCTCTCTCTCTCTCTCTTTCTCTCATCTCTCGCTCTCTCATTGTTTTTCTCGGAATAACAAGTACAATAAAAATCGCCAGTCAGCGCATAGTGAGAACAAAAGCCGCACAACAAAGCACACACACACACACACACGAAAAGCACTTACACACACTTTTCGTACCTGGGCAAAACTGTGATTTAAGATCTGCAATTAGAGATAAACCAAAACTCATTATAATCAAAATGAGTTATAGAAAGGACGGCGAGACAGACACAAAAACCGAACCAACAAAAACATAGCGTACACTGCGATAAAATATTGCCAAACAATTTAAAAAGATTTTTTTTGTACAAGAAAGAAACCTGAAGTTGAGAAAAGTTAAGTTAAAACAAAAATTAAAAAATAAGAAAAAAAACGAAAATGAAAGGCAAGCTGCAGCGAACCTGGGTCTGCTTGTCATTGAGGCGCCTGGTTACTGAGTCATTCAAGGGATGGAGAGAGGTTGGGAGAGAGAGAGAGAGAGAGAGAGCGAGAGATAGAGGCAGAGAGAGGGAGAGAGAGAGTGAATGAACAAGGGAGCAGCATTTAAATTCTGAATGAAGCAATCGAGAGTTAATCTCAATCAATTGTAAACATGAATTTCCGCCCAAAACTTAACTTTAATATTAAGCTAAATTTTTTCTTGCCGTGTAACAGACACACACACACACACACACACGAAAAATAATAATTATGGCCACGTGAACTCTTGACAACAACTTGTAAATTGGAGCTCATGTTTTTGTTTTATATTTCTTGGAAACGCTGTCAACTCTCCAAGATTAATTTAACACCAACGAAAAAATTTGTGTTGACCTGGGTCGCTTCTAGGCCGGCGACTAGCCTGGGCCGCACAGAGTCAAATCATGCAAGAAATTTGTTACCGACATTAAAATTACCATCATTATAATGTCTGCTGTCCGATGTCTGTTGTCTGCCTGCCTGGTCCCAGTCTGTGGACGACGTCTAACACGAAGCAGGAAGACGCTTGCCCGGCAAAACGGCAAGCGGCAAGCGGCAACAAATGCCGCACAAAAAGGCAAAAAGCGATGTGCGGTAATAGAAAATGTCGAAATAGACATGAGCAACAGCCACAGCAACAACAACAACAACAACAACAACAACAACAACAACAACAACAACAATAACAATGAGAGCTGCAAAAGCGGAGGCTAAACTAAAAGCAAACATGAAACATGATAAAGTGAGAAAAATCTGCTATTAAACGGCAACACACATGCAATACCCTGTAATTTGATGACTAGTTCAAAATATCAACTAAATATTGATAGCTCAAAAGTAACGAAAAATATGCCACGTAATGCAATACCCTGTAATCTGATGCTAAGCTAAATATCTGCTAGCTAATATCTAGCTGAACTATATCTACATTTATATATTATATAAAAAACTTTACGTAACATAACATATTATAAGTCACGTAACGTAACGTATCGTGCGACACGTAACATATAATAATCATATAAACATTTTATGGATAATACGAATCATATATAGATTATCCGAACAGCAAGTCAGTGAATAAATTATTGGAGATCAAATTAACATAACAAGCATCACGTCACAGACATCACGTTGCGTCGCTTAACGTTGATCACGTAACGTAACAAAACGATATTAAAAATTTTTTTAAGTAACTTACTTAATTAAGCTTTGTTATAAATGAAAATAAATAGTTCGACAAATTTGTAGGGGCTTTTGCCTGTCGCTAGATCTTTACGTAACGTAAAAGATCTTCAATATATTATTACGTAACGCAGCAAATACATAACGTTTTACATTCAAATAATAGCCAAAGCTTATGCAACTTGTAGCTCTCAAACTGGCACATTAGCACATACAGCCCCATTCAGTTGTTTCTACAGGGTATATGGCTGAAACACGAGCGCTTGAATGGAAATGAAAATGGGCTTTACAGTGATCGATGATGCCAGAGGTGAGAGTTGACGCTGAAGCTGAAACTGACGGACAGCAAATAGACAAAGAGCTCGAACTGGAACTGGAACTGGAACTGGCACTGAAACTGGAATTGGAATTTGTAGATGGTATTGGAACTCACCTGCGCATGATGGGCAGCGGCAAGGTGAAGCGTCCATCATTCATCAGCGGTGCGGTGCCCGGCAGCGGCACCGTCGATATAACCGGTGTCATCAGTGGCACGGGCAGCGGCACGGGCGCCTGCGTCGGCGGCGGCGGTGGCGGTGGCAGTGGCGGTCCGGCTGCCTGGGGCGGCGGGGGCGGTCCGCCAGCGGGCAGGGCGCTGTACGGCGGCGGGTAGTGGCTGTGGCTGTGCAGAATGTCCGGCAACAAAGCCCGTGCCAGGCCCAAGGCAGCCGGATGCGGATGTGGATGATGCAAGTGGGGCGGTGGATGCAGAGGCGGCGCATGTTGCCGACGTGCATGGTGAGGGGGCAACTGTTGCTGCTGCAGCTGCAGCTGCTGCTGCTGTTGCTGGCGGCGTTCGCGACGTTCGCGGCGACGTTGCTCGCGTGTACGCAACTGTTGCTGCTGCTGCTGCTGCTGTGCCTGCAACTGTTGCTGCTGCTGCGTGCAGTTGCCGTTGCTAAGGTCATCCGTTTGGCATTCGGTTGAGGTGAAAGTGCGTGGGGGCGTGGCATTCACATTGATTACTTTGACACTGTTATCAACACTGGACACATTCACATGATTATTAATACAATTATTATTATTATTATTTATATTATTAATATTATTATTATTATTGTGGCTGCTGCTGTTGCTCACACTGGCACTTGCAACATGTTGCACATCCACTTGCGTATTTTGATTATTATTTATATTATTATTTAACTTATTTTGTACATTTGCACTAAACACTTTGGTTGCTGGCACACAATTATTAATTGCAACAATGCTGCTCTTGTTGTTGCTGTTGTTGTTGTTGTTGTTGCTGCTGTTGTTGCTGCTATTGTTGTTGTTGTTGTTGGGGGTGTTGCTGTTGCTGTTGCTGTAATTGCAATTTACAACACAAACAACATTGTTGTTGTCTTGCGTTGCAGTTGTTGTTGTTGTTGTTGTTACTGTGGCTGTGTTGCTTGCGGGCGACGCGACACAAACCTGCTGATTACCGTTATTAGTACCGTTATTGTTGCTGCTGCTGCTGCTGCCGTTGTTCACTTGTATCGTCAGACTTGGCTGACGCTGACAGGACTTTGCTGCCGCGGGCAATATTGCAATGTTGCTGATGCTTTTGGCATTGTTGCTGCTGTCGCTGCCCGTCTTGTTGTTGCTGAGAAAAACGCTGCTGCTGCTGCTGTTGCTGCTGCCAACTGCTGTTGCAGTTTGTGTTGCTGCCGTTGCTGTTGGCGGCGGTGGCGGCAGCGGCTCTGCAGCCACATTTAGACGCATCTTATCGCTATCGTTATCGATATCGTTTGGCGCCTGGCTCAGGCGATGCTCGAAGAGACTTTCACTCGCGCGAAATTCGGCATACAAGCGTTCGAGTTCTGCCAAACATTTGTTGGGCCGCAGCACGTCGCTGCTGCTGCTGCTGCTGCTACACGAGTTGTTGTTGTAGCGCCCCCGCGACAACCACGACGTCAATGTTTGAATGTTGTTGTTGTTGTTGTTGTTGTTGTTGTTATTGTTATTGTTATTCGTATAGAAACTGCCGATTTTACGCACATCTGTTGTGTACGCGCCGAACGTACTCGAGAGACTGATCGCTGCCGAGCGAAACTCGCTTGAACCACCACTGAACGCCGACGTCGCTGCTGCTGCTGCTGCTGCTCTCTCAGCTGCTGACGCGTGCTCTCTTCGACTGCGACTGCGACTGAGAGTGCGATTGGGTGCTGCTGCTGCTGCTGCTGCTGCTGCTGCACAGGAAACAGGTTGATTGACCTGCACTCCAGCTGCGACTGCGACTTCGGCTTCGACTGCGACTGCGACTGCATTTGCGCCTGTTTCCTCGTTTGCTCTGGTTGTTGTTGCTGCTGCTGCTGCAGTTTTCGTTGTTGCCATTTCTTGCTCATCGTCAACGTCATTCCCTTTGTCGCTGTCGTCGTTGTCTTCTTTGTTGCCGTTTTCATTGATAATGCAATTCGCTCTACTGCTGTCGCTTTGATTTTCTGCACTTTGTTGTGATCTTGCATTCGTCTCTGTTGGCTTTTGCTTTTGACTCGTTACCGTTGTTGCCGTTTCTGTGTCGTTTATCGCTGGCGTGAATAATGCGCAGTTCTGCAAAGAGATAGAGAGAGAAAGCGCGCGAGAAAGAGAGAGAGAAAACGTCAGCTTTGCATTAGTCAAATGACATGATTTAAGTTTCAAGCGCTAATTAATGTTAAATGCTGGGGGATTAGACAGTGGCCAGAAAAAAGGTGACAGCGGCCACACAGGGCCAAGTAAGGACGTCGACTGGCAGGCAACCAGCAGGCGCATAAATGTGCGCCTAATTGAATTAATTAAGCCAACGCATAAACATAAAATCGTCACAAGTAATTGTTGTTCTTGTTGTTGTTGCTGCTGCTGCTGCTGCTATTCCTGCCTGGCGTCTGCATGTTTGCTGATAAAGTTATTGCTGTTGTTGTTGAGGCTGCATGACTTACTCTCACTCCGACGCTCGCCCGCTCAATGCCTCTCTCAGGCATCAGGCTTAGCATTAGAGATGAGCGCCTGGCGTGCCTTTTGGCGTGACATATCGAGCACGAAAATGCCTTTGCTTTGGTTTACATGTTTAAAGCTCTAGCTGCTTGTTATGGCAATATATATAAATATTATATATCAGCCGCTCATCTCTAATCAGTGCACAGTACCGACCCCCTCCTTTAGACCGTATAACTGTTAGTGCCTGTCTGTGCGTGTGTGTGTGTGGGTGTGTGTGTGGGTTCTAATTATGTTACGCTGTGTTACTTGCATTAATTACGTCACAGAAATATAATGTGATTTACTGTTAGCTCTATTGCTGCTGCTGCTGCTGCTGCTGCTGCTGACTTATTGTTCTTGGTGTTGCTGCTGCTGCTGTTGTTGTTGTTGTTGCTCTGCTGTTCATTCTTGTGCAATAGAGATTGCTGCTAGTTGCAATCAACACAGACCGCCCGCCCCAAAAATGACCCAAACTCCAATCTAACGGTCTCTGACTGCAAGCCAACTTCATAATAAATGTTTTGTCATGTTTTTTTGTTTTTGTTTTTTGTTCACATGGGTAATTTTAGAGGTTATGTGGGGCATTATGTTATAATTATGTGGCACAGTCATCGTCATAGGCTAAAGCCCCAAGGGTTTAATTAATGTTTTCTGCTCTCAGAACCGGTCTTAAAGTAGTCAGTACTTTTTTTAAGTGTTGCAAATCGCAAACAAAGCGAGTACAGCAATGGACTAACCCTTGGCTTCCACATTGTCCATCGATTGCAACCCCTAAATAACTACCTCTAACTATCCTGTCAATTATGGCGGCAACCCGGCACTACATATCGAATATGGCAAGGGGGCATATGGCACACAATACACTCAGCGAAAATGGAATTAACTAAGTATTTGCATACTCTTTCTTAATTACAGAATTTCAGATTTGCAAAAAAATACTTTAAATAAGATTTTCTTTATTTATGCTATTGGATTTTGCGTTTGGAATAAGTTTTTCTGATACGATTTATTATATATTCTTTTCTCTGAGTGCATGTGTGTGTATATAAGCTATATAATTTACTTAAATACGTTCACAGTTTTTCTCTTTGTTCTCTGTTCATTGCTTTGTGGTCAATTTTCCATTTCGCTGACGCAACAACATAAACAACAACAAATTATGATAGGAGTCGAGAGATATAAATTTTAAATGCATATTTACGAGTCCATTGTAGATGCTCGTCCCACTGGCAACATAACGGAACGACCCGCACGCAATGCACAGCCCGCACTTTACGCCCCCGCACCCCCGCACCCCAGCACTCCTCCCTTCAGCCACTCTGCAAGCGATATCGATACCAATTACGCTGGCAATGTCGATGCTGATGCTAGGCGACATCTGGCGCTCTCTTATCGAAGTCGCGGGGCGGCGGCACTCAAGGGCCTAAGTGAAACATTAGCTCTTATCGGAGCGCAGTAGCTGTCAATGGGGGGTCGATAATGGAGACCCCCCCCATACCGCACCCCTCCACCATTTACTCACATCAGCCTTGACATCAAATTTGATGGCGCCACATTTGGAGTCCAAGTGCGTGGAGTGAGAGGGCTATTGCGCCACCAAGGTGACAATTTTATGAGGCGCCGCGCAGACACCAGGGCTGTCGCATGCCTGTACATAAATCGCACAACAGATAATACCCATTATTACAGGGTGTAGCGGAAAGAACAGTTAAATGACCCTGATTTGATTCAAATAACAACTGAAGGAGGATACGGGTTCGAGCCCCTAATGCGTAAAAGAATAACATGAAGAAAGACCCTTAGAAACGGCTTTTTCTTATGTAAGTTTATCTTCCGACCTATTGACTAGAGATGCCTAAGACTGGATAGGGGATATATTAAAACAATTTGGAGGCTTATAATTTCAGATACCTTGAAAAACTGAAAGATTTTCCGTGTACCCATATCGATTCTCCCTCTATGATATAGCAATCCGTTCATGGTAAGATTTTGATTTTCGTAAATGCTACGGATATAATAAAATAATGGGAAGCTTTTCGTACAAGAACTTAAGTCTTGCTATGGCATCTATATGATATAGTGGTCCTATCTATCCGAAATAAATAATACAGAAAGCTTTAAAAGCTCAGAGACTAGCAACAGACGGACAAGCACGGACATATATTCAAGATCAGCAATATATATATATATATACACTGTATGAGTTGGAAATTGCCTTGTGCTCCGCTTGAACTCTATGAGTTGGAAGTTGTCTCCTGCTCCGCTTGAATTTCTTCCATAATTCCTTTTCATTATATAAACTTCAAGTTTTTCTCTGCCCCCTTCACAAATATTTATCGATATGTATCGAAAGCAACCTGCAATTACCTGCGATATATAATCGTCCGTGAAGGAGCGCACCAAACGCTCAGCGGGAACATTTGCCGTTAGTTTGGGTTGATCATCATCATCATCATTATCATCATCATCATCGTCATCGTGTTTAGTTGTTGTTGCTGGGGATCGTTGCGATCTATCACATTGTAGATTGTTCGGCTGGACGGGAGCCAAGCTTGCCCTGGCCGCGCCCACGCCGGAGACGCTCGCCTCGTAGAGGGACTCGTACGAGGGCGGCTCCTTGATGGCCGTGGCCGCCGAGGAACACCATTGGGTGAGTGTGTGCGCCGGACTGCCATAGTAGCTTGGATATGAGTAGCGATTCCGGCTACGGTTTGTCTTGCCCGCCTCAAAGGCGCAACTAAAACTGGGAAAAGGCACGGGAAGAGCGACGACTCCTGCTGCGGCTGCAGTTGGTGCTATCGGTGTCAGTGGGGTCAGTGGGGTCAGTGGTGCTAGATGGCTCAGGGCAGACCTGCTGCAGCAGCTGCTGCCGCTCGTCTCGTAGCTGCTGTGCGATTTGCGTAGCTTGCGATTGAGCCGCTCATCGTCGTCCTCCTCATCCGAGGAGCTGGCCGTGGGCGTGCTGCGCTCATAGGGCGTCCAGAGCATTGAGGAGAGCGCCGCCTCAACGTCCGGCGGCCGCAGCTGGCGATGATGCGAGGGCGTCTCCGTTGCCCCATGGCTGGGCGTGTTCCGTTCCGACATGGACATGTCTGCTGTCTGGACATCGCTTACAGTTTAGGCTACTTGCGACGGGCGGTGTCTGTTGGCCGCATGCTGAGCCCCAAGCCCCTGCAAGTGGAAAAATCAAACGGCATGAGGAAAATCTAACTGTGTAAATTGCGAAAAACTTTTACCTAAGCAAATCTCTGACAAATTTAACGCTCAGCCCCGACTTTGTACGGCCGTGCCCTTTTATTTTCCAATTTGATAAATTGCGATTAAAGCATTTAAAAACGCCGAAAAAAAAAAGAAAATGCATAAAAGAAAAATGAAAACTGTTAAGCAAAACGAAACGAAACGAAACGAAACGAAATACGCCAAAAGACACGAAACATGGAAAACAAGCTTCCGTTTTGTGGCCAAAATATATGCAGAAAAGTTTGCGAAGCAAAACTTTTTGGCAGCCTCTTTTGGCCCGTGGGCGATGCCCCTCCCCTCCCGCCCTCCTCCTCCCCGCTCCCTTTCCCAGCAAAAAAAAACACACACACACGCAAATAGTTGGTATATAGGCTGCGTCTCATTCGGTTATTCGCATTAGAGAGAAACTCTTTCAGCCAAGTTTAAAGTTGACTGCCAATTTCTGGATACTGAATTTGGGCGGATTCTAGCCCGGGCTGGCTGCGTGCTGGATTCTGTGGCCCCTGGGGGGAGGGGGGGTGGGCGAAAAACTGGCACAGAAAATGGCTTAACAGCCATCGGACTAAACGGGCAGACATTGAAACGGAAATGGTTGCCCATAGACGTCACTTGAAGCCATTGGGTGCCGTTCCAGCTGCTCTTCTAGCTCCGATTGTTGTCCTTGTTGTTGCCTGCCATTCATGCAGCAGCAGCAGCAGCGGCAGTTACTGCAGCAGCAGTAATAGCAGAGGCGGCAGCAACATTCACTGCACAAAGTTTATGCGGCGCTTTTCATGATCATTTTTAAAGCACAGCTCGAAAAACCCGACCCAGCTTGTTGGATTCATTTCAGCGTTACGAATTTTAGAATAACTCGAAAAAAATGTATAAAAATGTTAAATATTTTACCATAAGAAAGTATCTAAGAGATTCTCAACAAATATTTTAAATAAATAAGTAAGAAAAAGTTTGTAAATTAAAATATAAGATGTGCCCAATATTGTTACTACTTTTTCTCTGCCTCTCTCTTTCTCTCACTCTCTCATTCTCTCGCTCACCCTCCCATTGGCCCTCTTTCTCTTTCTTTTTTACTCCATCTATATTGATTTCTCTCTCTCCCTCTGTCTCTCTCTCTCCCCCTCTCTCTCACTTTCTCTATCTATCTCTTTATTTCGCTATTTTTCTATATTTTTCTGTTTCACTCTTTCTCTCTCTCTCTCTCTTTCTATTTCCACTTTCCATCTCTATATCTCTTTACATCACTCTCTATCTCTATCTCTCACTTCTTTCTCTCTCTTGTTATCTATGTCCCTCACTCTCTCTCTCTCTCTCTCTCTTTATGTCCCTCTCTCTATTTAGCTGTCACTCACTCTCTTTCTTTCTATTTCACTCTCTCTATTACCTATCTCTATCACTCTCTCTGTCTTTCTATCTCTCTGTTTCACTTTCTTTCTATTTAACTGTCTCTCTCTATCTTTCTCTCCCTCTAGCAACATTTCATTTTAATTAGATTCCTCAAATTGACAACTAAAATTGTAAGTCCATTTTTTACTTTGAAGTCCGGGAAAGTTTATATATGAAAAACTCATTCAAAAAAAGTTTTTATCTAAGCACAAAGTAAGAAACTTAAAAGAAAATCTAAGACTAAAAGAGTCTCTATACTCTATGCCAAGTGGAAGCCACATTGGCGTGCCATTTTAAGATAATTAGCGCAACAGGATAATGTGATTGAACTTTCCGATAGATCAAATTCCCGGCACTTATCATGTGAAGGGCCAGCGTGAAAACCTGGCTCTTGGCCTTAAGTTGTATGTGTTGCATATCCCGAGGCGCTTTGCTGCTCTAATTTATTTTTATTTTTTTTCACTTCCGCAGTTTTTTGTGCTTCTTGGTATTTGGAGTTTGCCGCCATTGAGGCCGATGTTTTTGTTATGCTTAAATAAAGATTTGTGTTAGTGTGTTTTATTCTGTTTCTGTGGCTCGGCAATTGTTGCTCTTGTTGTTGCAATTGTTATCGTTGTTCCTGTTGTTGTTGCTCACCAAGTTTATGTGCATTGCTGGCCTTCATTGTTGTCATTGCCATTGTTGTCGGTTGGCCAAAATGAAGAAAGGCGCCCAGCGAAAGGCAGCACAAAAGACGGCCTCACATTCAAAGCCAGCACACAAATTAATATGTGCAACAATTGTGTGTGTGTGTGTGTGTGCTTGAGTGTGTGTATAAGACTTGTTATATGCATGTTACCTACTTTTGTGAGCTTTTAATTAACAACAAGTTTGCGCCCCGCACAATGCAAACAAAGTGTCGCAAGCCTTGAAATTTTCACAATTTTCCATGCGGCATTTTCTTTGTGCCATTTTTAGCAGCAAATGCGAAAATTTATGAAAAAAAAACGTAGTCTTATGTATTGCAATAGCAAATAATGCCCGGCATTGCTTGGGCTTTAGTTGAAGCTTAAGCCATGCGCGCCTCGGATTGATTATTTTAATTAATTTAATTAACTTGGGGATTAGATTGAGTTTGACGTAAATTAAATGCAGAATAAACTTGGATTATGCCCACACTCAGCGAAAAACTTAACTAAAGTAAACGTAATGGAAAAGTTGTCCGAATAGAATTGAGCTCGAAATTGCTTAAACTGAGAACTAAAATTTCTGATAATTAATTATTAGCTAAAGTAATCATTAATTCTTTATAGTTAGAAAATAGCTCAGAGAAAATCTACAGCAAACTAAATGGAAACGTTGTCAACATGAGATAAAGTTAGAAGTTGTTTAAGCTGAGAATTAAATTCAACATAAAGAGGCACAAAATTTAGTGCAAAGATTCAGCTAAGTTTGAAGTTTCTTAAGCCAAACACAAAGTTCTTATTCCAAGTACCTTGTTTTCTTAATACTCACTTTTCCCAGCTTAACCTAAGAATTTAAAGGCTTAGAGACAATTGCATTAAGAATTAACTTGGATTATGCCATGAAGGAAACTAATTAGGAAAGCTGTCAAAATCGTATTAAGCTCGAAATAACTTAAAATAAGAATTAAAAAATGTATTTTAATATCTTTGCTCTTGTTAAAAATATCAAAATTTTATGTCAAAAACATAAGCATAGTACTGAGAGAAAAGACCAAGAGTTTTGTTTAAAGTTTCTTAAACCAAGCATAAAGTGCTTTATTCCAGAACTATTTCCTTAAGAGACGCTTTAAGTTATATATTTGTTTATGACTCGTATGTCGAACTTAAGCCTAGCTCTTTTATGCTTCAGAAACATAATGAATTTTATGCATGTTACTCAAGCAATTCGCTGAGTGTATTGTAAATATTTAAACAAGAAGTGGCCCAAATTACATGAACCCACGTTAGCTTTCATTTAAGGGAAGCATATCGTTCTCTAGAAATAAAACGCGCCCGACTCCAACATATTCAGGTGCTCACAATTCACGGTGCTGTCAGAAAGATTTGAGCGCATTTTAAAGAAAATTCCATAAAAGATTTGCTTCAACAAGCGCCGCAATTTGGTGCGGAAAAACAGCTACGAGCGAAATTAATGCTGTAAATCATGAAAGCAAATAAATAGAAAAAGGAAAAAGTCGCAAAAATAAAAACCAAATCAAATACAACAAATATTTCGAGGCAAAGTTCGGGCACAGGAAAACTGTCTGGAGAAAAACTCCACGTGCTGTGCAAATGTCACGCAAATGAGCAGCAAAAAAAAAAGAAAAACAAGTAAGAGGTTCTAATCGGGAGCTCCCGACTAGGGAATACCCTGAACCCTCTTCTTCCAACATCAAATGCATATATATATTCTATTTTAGAAGCTATATGTCAAGTTTGGTGACTCTAGCTCTTATTATTTACCAAAATTGTCCAGAAAACAGGATATCGATATTGATTTTTATCGATTGCTTGGAAACGGAGTAAGTTATCGATTATCGGAAACAAACTCGATCAGCGCAGGCACTAGGAGCACCTAGCTCTTATAGGTTCTGAAATCCTTGCGCTCATACATACGGACAAACGGACATGGCTAGATCGACTCGGCTATTGTTGCTGATCAAGAATATATATACTTTATGGGGTCGGAGATGCTTCCTTCTGCCTGTTACATACATTTGGCTTTTGCACAAATACAATATACCCTTATACCCATTTTTAATGGGTTCAGGGTATAAAAATTGTGTAGCTGCTGCGCGGAAAATTCAATGAAAATTATTTACGTAAATATATTTGACTGAGCGCAAGCATTTTTGCATTATATATATATATTTTTTTATTTTCCATTTCTATTTGTATTTTATCTTTTTTTATATTTATTTATTTGACTAGACGTGCGTTTGTCAATCGGACGGGGGCGACGGCCGTGTCCAGGGCTCAAACTTTTTTCCGCTCGGGAATTCAGAGATGGGAAAAGTTGTTGCCAGGCGTTGCCATTGACAGCGTTTGTGCCACATTCAGCTGGCAAATTGCTGCCAGTATGTTTGTAATGCAAACAAACTTTATCTAATTAAAGGAACACGTGTTCCACCCACGACGCCGGGATGCCCTATGCTCCAGCTGCTCCCGCTTGAACGACATCTTCAACGTCATCTCCTTCTACATCTCCATCTCCATCTCGACATCTTCATCTTGTGAGCTGCTTTGCATTGATGACGCCCTCGAAATGCCTTTTGATGTCATTCTACAACTGCTGCCGTTTGCTGCTGCTCCTACTCCTTATTTTGCATTTGCCAACTCGACATATTCACAGGACGACTTCCTGTTCCTGTTTCCTCTGTGCCAAAGTGCTTTGCCCTGCCCTCTAGGCCTGTCGTCTATCCTAACCCAATCGTGAGCTCTCTAGCCGCCCATCAATGGCTGTCAAGTCGGAGCGTCTGCGTC